TTCTCAGAAGCTACCACTGAGCCCTTGTGATCTGGCCAGCTCCCAGGGCTGGGTGTTACTTGTGGGCTTTTACACAGCCCCTGTTTAAAGTTCACAGGCATTGCTCCCTAGAGACACTGCCGGTGCCCCTTAGCCACGTATGTGTGGGCCTGGCAGGTCCTCCACATCTATACCACTGCTCAGGGGACACACGGAGGCTTTCCTGATGTGGGCATTGGGCCAAGACATGTGGCGCTGGCAGTGCTGAGAGTGGGAGCAAGACAGGACTGAGCCCCCAAAGCGAGGGGAAACCCATCAGGCTGGGGCACTTCGAACATTTTATGAGTGAGAAAAAACACAAATGAACACACAAATTTTAGTTTGGATATGAAACTTCTATGTGCCTAAGAATTTCCTTTCTCCCTCCTCTTTGTGCCCAGCAAGCAAAAGACAAAAGTCACAGAACTGCAAGACATGAAAAAGTAATCATTATTGTGTTAGCATAGACAGGTAAGGCTGGGTTCTGGGGCTAGAAAGGGGGGGGGGAGAGAGAGAGAGAGAGAGAGAGAGAGAGAGAGAGAGAGAGAGAGAGAGAGAGAGAGAGCGCCCCAGACACACAAAGAATGAATTCTAAAATAAGTTTGGCATGTGGACCTACTAGAGCCTCACGACTGCCTCTCTGGATTTCACAGCTATCAGACAGCCCTGGTGGCTTCTGAGTAAGTGTCAAATGGATGAGCCGAGCCAAAATTAGTGTAGGAGGAGAGAGCGACAAAAGACAAGATGCTCCAGTCAGCAGATGGAAAGTTGAGTTGGGTTTGTCATTTACAGGCAGGCACCAACGTAGGAACTGCTCATGTTCTACAAAGTTCATCTGACTCCGAGAAACACGAGTACAAGGAACATGGCAGAAAATAGAAGGAACTTGCTGCTTGCTGGATAAGACTTCCAAAACGCAAAACTTGACGCGCTCATTTTAGAGCTTGAGAAAGCTAATGTAGAGATTTGTCTTTTTAAGCTGGAGATTACTGTGAGACTTAAGAGCAGGCTGGGCTTGAGACTCCCCTGCTGTGCTGTCCCCAGGAGGGCAGCAGTGAGGTTCTGGGGGACAGGGGACAGTGAGGAGGGCAGGAAGGATTCATACCAGTCTGGGCCCAGCCTGTCTACAAGAAGCAACACAGATGCACATGGAGGGCACGGCTTATGTGGGGCTGCAGGTCCCTTGTGTCGCCCAAGACGAGTGTATAAGGACAGAAATGGCAACGGGCAGTTTGCAATCCTCAGGACCTCTCCACTGTCTTCTCAGCCCACAGAAACGCCCTCCTTTATCGGATAAACATTTCCCAAACCCCTGCTTGCCTGGTGCTGCCCCAGGCCGCAGGACTGTCATAGTCCATGACAGCAAGGCCCTTCTTTCGCAGCAGTTCGCTGTCTAGCGACACAGATAAAGAGTAAACAGATGTGACGCGTTTTGATCATGTTAAAAGCTATGGAATACTAAGAGTAACACAATGGTGATCAGGGGCTTGGCTCTAGGGCAGAGGTCAGTTAAGGAAGAGATGACCCTTGGGAGGCGACCTCAAAGAAGAGCATGAGCTGGGGAGATAGCTCAGTGGAATAAACACTTGCCTGGCAAGTGCAAGGGCCTGAGTTCAATCCCTGGTTCCGCAAAAAAAAAAAAAGAAGAAGAAGAAGAAGAAGAGCATGAGGTCTGAGACTCATCAGCGAGCAAGGCCGATGATCGGCAGCAGCAGAAGCAGCAGCGTGCTGCGCAGGCGACCCCAAGCGTACCCCTAGAGCAGGTCTTCGCCACATTCACAGACCTGACTCTGAGACCCTAGGCCCAGAGTCTCGGGAACTCAACAAGGACTGCAGACGCCCCGGGAGTCTTCCGCGGTGAGAAGGCTGCACAACACCGGGCAGGCTCGGGGCTTTCCGGGGAAGCCGACACCTCGGGCTGCAGGGGTCACGTACTCCCCGGCGGGGACCCCCGCCCCGCGAGCCCGGCTGTGAAGCCCGAGGTCAGCCACCTGCTCCCCGCGCGGGCGGCAGGGCTCCCCGCGGTGAGTCAGGGGCCGTGGGGCCGGGCCGGGCCGCAGGAATCCCCAGCCTAAAAGCGGCCGCCCGGCCGAGAAACCCAG